AGCTGAGATCTGGAACGAGGGTATGGAAACCCTAAAGAGGAGTCTAGATTACATAGGTGCCGTTAGACTCCCCGGCTAGGGACCTCAGGATGATAGTAACCGATGGTGAGACGCTCTGAGTGATATGGCTGGGTGTCGTGAACAGTAGAGTTCATGCATCATTAGTCCACTGAACTTCTCAATTTTCTCTTTGATCCTACTTTTAATCTTCCTGTTTTCCTGCTATTATTCAACCAAATGGGCAGCTAAAAGACAGCAACCAAAAGCGTCGCACGGAAATGCATGTTTAATGGTTGTTTTAACTGAACTGGTGAATGTGAATTTTAATTCCTTATTGTATTTTCACCCGTAAATCTGAGCTATCGACTTGGACGTTAAATCATATGACTAGTTCAGGGTCTCACAGATAGCGATACACCGTGTTATATTACCAGTTGTCTTTGCTATCGGTTTCACAGGAAATTTAATTCATTTTTTTCACTTTCACTTCCTCCTCATTGTGTATTTATTAAAATACACAATGATACACTTTTCAGGAAGGGGGAAACGGCCAATAACAGGGCTGCCAGACAGCACACAATGCGGGATGTCTGGCGGTGGTGGGATTCAAGCACACTTCCCCCGAGGTGACGTTACCGTCTGGAGCAAGCGCTTTAATAGTTGGATTGTTATAACCAACGGTCGGAATGAATCAAACAGTAAAGTCTTTCACATTGCATAACGGTATCCTAAGACGAGAGTGTTGCCTCATGCTTACCTTTCATTCGACCTTCGGTCAAAAGGCGAATGGAAAATCGAGCAGTGTCCGTGAAACGAACGGGTGGTCGTGCATTCAAATCGCGTACCGGACCGAACTGAAACGCCCCAAAAACTCTGTACAAATCCTCTGGGGTAGTCCGTGGAGCAAGATTCTTTATATACAAACGTGAGGTTGGCTCGCCAGGTTGATATCCTTTCGCAAAGACCGGATAGTTTTGCCTTTCCTCCTCTGTGAGACGACCGAGGCGAAGGTCGTTCATGGACAGCGAAACTACGGAATCTCCTTCGGACTCCAATATGTTGTCTTCCGTTTCAGAAGATGATGCAGACCCTGCGACTTTTTCAGGTTGCGGAATGTTTTCTGGATGGTCTGAAAGCAAATTACGGAAACAGGGATTGATCACCATACCGAAGGGATATGTGTATCCTTATTTGAATCGCCAAAAACCACTTGCATTTTTTGTCACGAAACGTTACGCAGGCTAGTCGTACTGTACTCAGTGTATTGTATTCAGCGGGCCGTCCAAGATGGAAACAACATTACTAATAACGCTTCGATGTAAAATATAACATTTACACACTGTCTATACTCATTTGTGTCTTGTGGTTAAAACTTGTTTCAATGTTCTGCAGAACAAACCTGCCGATCTAGGGTGACATCTTTGAGAGAACCTAAGGTCAAGCCAAGAACACAGCTTGAATCACTGTCCTCTTTTTTATCATCGTATCAAGTCCAAAAGCATACACATCGCGAGATTTTAACAATTCATTTAATCCCCTTATTTTCTGCAGTAAAACAAACAGGCACACATAGTACACACACGCACTGTGTGTGTAAACTTGTTGGAGTTCCCTTCACTATTCCCCTGCGATCTGATCATGTTCGAAAGCACCAGGTCGCTGTAAGTTGAATAATCAAGGCAACTACGCTGCACACGTGCAAAAGAGCACGGTCACCGCTGAACAACGCCGGACTCGCTCGTTTATGGCCTAATATCCGAATCGGTTCTAAACACCCCCTGGGATCTTAGATAAACGAATGAGCGTACAGTTACATTGTGTATTTATAGCGGCAGCCAATGCCGCCCTGTTTGAGAACCTTTGAAGGGAGGCTTATGCACAATAACTTACCTTTTCTCAACTGGAATTCGATATCACACAAATGATGCACGACTGTTTGTTCCACTTTCGTCACATCCGCGGTTTCCGAGGTCGTGGCCGTGGGCTTTCGATGAACGGGCATGATGCCAAAACCACTCTCTACATTACCCGTGTGCCGTGCAGTGGATCGCTGTTTACTGGGCAGTTTTGAAGGAATATGCAATTCCAACTTGGATGTCTGTGAGACAGGCTCAAACACATCAGACACCGCAGGTGTAAGGCGTGACTCGGTCGTGGGGACGGACAGATGGTTGGATCCACGTGAATCCGTATCAGTCTGTCGAATGCGCTTGTGACTGCCAGAACCGCTAGGACGCAGTCTCGCATGAGCGCGACGGACAGGTTTGGGCATCCTCAATTTGGGTGAATGTGTAGCCTGAGCATCATCTTTCAGGTGGAACCAACAAAAGTAGAGTAGCAACATGAGTGACCAATCAGCACATAGACATGACTTCATCAGTACACGTTCAAGACAAACGACGTTGCTAACCGATATCATAAGTGGGGAAGTAGTAAATAAAGTAAACAAATTTTGCTATTTGGGAAGCTACATCTCACTTGACGGACGCATCACAGATGAAGTGTTGGCGCTCATGCACAAAGCTCGATTGGATTGCCAACTTGAGACAGCTGTGGCACCGTCACCACATTAAATTTTCAGATGTATGCTGGAGTGGTTCAGCCAGACCTGCATTACGGTGCACAGACTAGGCCATTACGGCAATAGGATATAGACAGACTTTCGCTGTTCGAAAATCGTTGTCTACGCAGCGTTGCGCGAGTCTGGTGGGGCAACCGGACAAAGAATGCTGAGGTTAGGTGTGGAGTTTTAGGTAACCGCGGTCGCCCATCAGAGCAAGCGGTGGACATGCGTAGACTAGGATGGTTGGAGCATGTGTTACCCGTGTCACCAAATGGACTGCCACAACGCATGATGTTTACGAGGCAGGTAGGGAGTGGAAAAAATAAAGGGCGGTCAAGCCAAGACCTGGTATGAGAGTATGAAAACTAGGACCAGTAGACTCGACCACATAGGGCCCGCTGGGCTCCCTATATGGAGAACCCGAGATCATGGTCACTGGTGGTTAGTGACACTGAGTGATGTACCTGAGTGTAGTAAACAGTTATGTCCGTGTATCTACCCATTATCCCTACAAACCTAGTCCATGCGAATTCTTCATCCGCTCTTTACTCTGCTCTAAACGTTGCAATCTTCCTTCTGTTCTATTATCCAAATGGGCAGCTTAAAGAAAGCAAACAAAACCGCCGCACAACGGTGCGGTGGTTAATGTTTGTAAAAACTGAAACTGAGGCGTGACAGATGTTAATCGTTAGACAGCTATTGTATCAGACTTTTATTACGTGCACCACTACGTGAACAAAAGAGGCAAATCTTATCGTGAAAAACTATTGGTTACTCACAATAAGCGACCATTCAAGCTCTGGGACATGGAATAGGGAATTCCATAAGACTTCATTAGGAGAAAGACGTTGTTATGAGCTTGGCGACAACGAACATGAGAAGACCGAAGTTGCGAGCGGTGGCAGCATTTGGACCTCGAACGTTATTTCCCGAATTAAACCGAAGCCAGCGACCCCTAAACCATTTAACCACCACCAAAAGCAAACTGGATGGATAATGTATGTATCCATACACAAGAAAATACTGCGAATTTGATGGATTAACAACCTCCAATCAACAAAACTTTTCTAGTCTGTATTATCCAACTCAGTAGTGAGCTACCCAAAAGATCAACGACTTAAATTCTCGACAAGCAAAACCACACACTACTTCAAAAGAAACTATCATTGAATCTTACCAGAATCGATTTCCGATTCGGTACTGGTTGAAAGATCCATTTCTTCCTGTTCATCTCCGACCGGGGATCTCATCAAACTATCGTGATTGTCTTGTTTGTTGCCCGTTTCAATCGGCTCCGTGATTTTCTGGTCAGAAGTCTTTAGTTGGGATGTTAAATCGGATTCAGTGACGACCAGCAGATTACCCGGAAAAGTATCCGTGTCACAGAACGGAGGTGGTAAATGCAAACGATTCATCAGATGCAGTACCTGTATAAAAAGTGTTCAAAAGCTACTTTACGTCACCGCTTTAAGCATATATATATATATATATTACGAACATTCGAGTAATAACAGTTATGTGCAGTTTGTTGAAGTTGGCAACCAAACAAAATTCGAAGTTCAATGAGGGCACTGACACACACAGAGAAACAAACTGCTTCGGACAAGTTTGTCAGAATAAATACGTCCGGAGATGCAGGTCAAATAATTGTGGAAAAACGTAAATTCAGCAAGCTATATCTAGGTGGTCACATATTTTCCGACAGGCTTACTTGATGAGAGCTAAAAACCAGTCCGGTGTCTCAAGGCGTATTTTCACTAGTCTTCCACTTGTACTGGTCCATAGAAGAAACAACACCATGTTACATGGAGATGTTAATTGGTCCACTGTGATCAGCAGATTCGATTAGATTAAAGGGCGTTAATTCTTCGTACGCCGCGCCTCTAGTAGACACGTTATGTCGAATTTGTAATCGTGCAAGGAGCGAACAGAAATGCACCAACTTCCCTTGTCTAACGTGCGGCAAGAACCGTGAAGGGCCCCTCTGGTAGTTAATGTCCCAACTAGCTTATTCAGTAACCAGGTCACTGGAAGAATATAAGGCGCATCGCTTCGTGTCATATTTCCGTCAGAATTCATAGTGTTTCGGGAATAAAATATTAAAAATGATGTCCCCAGGTTTGTTCGGGTTTTGTCCGAGGATTTAACCCTTGGACATCCGAATGCAAACTGCAGAGTAACAAGATTGTATGGTTGTTCACAGTCGGTGATGACGTCTGCAGTTCATACGCCTTTCAGGTTGCATTACCACTGCCACCCAACTTTGGTGGTAGGTAGCCTTGCTGTCGTCTGGTTGTTTCAGAATTTGGCGAAGGGTGAAAAAAAGTCATACAAAATCGAACGGCGAATTTGAGTTCAATTTTTAGAACCCTAACCATGCACTTTCTTGAGACCGTCTCGGCTGCTGTTTTTCGTCAGCGAATTTGGATGAAGAGTTACAGAGAAGATTGAGATATGCAAATCAGTGTCAGAGTGAATTCATAAAGACTAAGGTTGCAAAGAAGTTTAGATGCGCGAGCACCGCTGTTTAGGACTACTCCGCCATATCACAGTGTTTCTAATCATTGATTACGATCACTCCTAAGTCCTCATCCAACAAGCTTAAAGCTAACTATGTCAGCAAGTCTTCTGCAGCTATGGCACGCCACTTTT